CTTATTTTATGCATTCCTTTTTCAGAATTTATCATAGGTTAGAATATTAGAATTTTTATGATCAAGTTTACTGTTTCATGGATGCAGATACTTTACATCTTAACTATCTATATAAATTAAGAGCACATAACAATGATGCTGGAACCCCAGTGGCAGAGTGGGTTACTAACTGGGTTGCTAAACACAAGGTCAGTAGTTCAAAACCATCACGTCACTCCATAAGAGAAAAATGAAACTTTCTCCTCCTGTAAATATTTATGACTTTGGAAACCCCCAGGGGCAGTTCTACCCTGTCCTGTACAGCGGCTTTGTGTCAGAATAGACTGGGATCATGGTGAGTTTGATGTTGACAAACATGGTAATAATGACTTTACGTCTCTCGTTTCACTTTTCATGAAGAAAATAACAATCGTCAAGTCCAAAAGATATAGTTCTAAATCCTGGTGCAGCAGGAGAAACTTTACACTTTAAAATCAAAACAAACACACCCTTTAGCCTAATTTCTATTCCACCCTTGGTAACGCACTCAGTAAGCTATAGACTACTGGACTTTGGACTCTGTTCTTTGGAGGCATACAACGTCCTTCATGGGCCACCCCGAAGGACTCAATGTGGAAACCTACTAAGTGAACTGAGCTGGACCTCAAACTCAGCAGCAGCCACTGGACTGAAGGCTGAAACTCCCCAGTGGGAGAAGAAGTCGATGACTGCTAGCCAGAGGACATAGTTTGGATCAGCTCTCTTACCCTGAGGATGTCCAATGCATGATGGCCTGGAACTTTAATATACACTTAATATTTTAATGCCCTCCATGCTTCATTATGACATGTATTAATCCGGTAGGGTATGTCTCTGCTGCTGTGAATGAATATTATTGGAAGATTTGCTCTGTCACCAACCCCTGTTATTTGTTAAATAGTGTCCAGTCACTTAAGAGTTTAATCTGTACAAGCCAACAACTCATGCATTGTGGATCATAGTTGTCGTATAATTTCCTTTTCTCAACAGTGTTTTAAATTCTATACCATGGGCTAAACTAATAAAACTATCAATGTATAATAGTTACACATTAGGCTGCTAACCACAAGATCAGTAGTTCAAAACCACCAGCCAGCTCCATGAGGAAAGAATGAGACTTTCTGCTTCCGTGAAAATTTGTAAGCTCGGAGACTCACGGGGGTAGTTTTACCCTGCCCTGTAGGTCACCATGAGTCAACATTGACTAGGTGGCAGTGTAAGTGATGCCCCAGGGGGATGATTGATAGTGTCCTCTAACATAAAATGACAATCATGTTTCAAAGGTGAACCAGAGACATATATACAGTAAACCATAGGTGCTGCGATGGATTGGGGGCTTGCACTTAATTCTAGCCCCAACCAACGAATAATTAGTTTTAAAAAAAAATCATTAGGGGCTCAAACAGCTCTTATCACAATACATCCATCCATCCATTGTGTCAAGCACATTTG